TCACAATTACAAAATGAAACATTGTAAAATAGTTCCTCCAGCTCCCAAGTGAGAAACTGTTCAGAAGGATACTGTGGTCAACAGCATCAAATGCCAGGAGGAGACCCAAATGAAGTAATCAGGTCATACTCCCCATGTCTGTCTTTATTATTCTGATAGTCATCAATCAGGATAACACAGGCCAATCCCATTCACAAACCAGACCTGAATCTACACTGAAATGGATCCGAACTATCAGTTTCATTTGAGAGTGCCTGCAGCTGAGATGCCATCATTCCCTTGAACGCTTTACTCAGAAATAGAAATGGGACAATAGCTGACATACATCTCCAAATCCAGCAAGTGTTTCTTAGCATGTCTCCTTCATGGTAGTAGGAACCCCTCCGTTTCACTAAGATGTGTTCACTACTCCTTGCTCCATCTGGTCGGTCACCTGCCCTATGAGTTGAGCTGGTTACAAATAGAGACACTCTCATGGTTGTCATGGAGACCATGGAGTCATGAGCTGGTCCTGTTAAGGCATGGGTCCTCAAACTACAGCCCGCAGGACGGATCCAGCCCACCATGCCCATTCATCCGGCCCACGCCGCCATCCCCCTGCCTGCGCGCGAGCTCACCACACGGGCAGGAGGTGGTGGCGTGCTCACTTGGAGATGGTTTTGGACTTGTTGGGAGATCTCCCAGTGGGTCCAAAACCATCTCCGAGCCATCTTCTAAGGGCAAGCTCAGAACCTGTTGCAGATGAAGTGAAAAGGAACCTACCAAACAATAGGCAGAGGAGTACAGGGGAGAGAATTTGAAGCAGAAGGTTTAACTTGACCCCTCAGTCCATGTTGCCTAGAACAATTATCTTTCCCCTTGAGTCACGAAATTGTTAATGGTGTGTACTGAGCAAAATAAGTTCAAATTCTTTCAATTTACTTTCCCTTTGGTTCCAGCCATACATAGTAGAAGCTAGGTGATGCAGGTATAAAAAATGGCTGCTTATGAAGATTGCAAAACCTCTCCTGAATAGTATTACCATTTTTTTCCCAGACACATTGCTTACTCCACTGGCAACATGTTGGGAGTCCTGTAACAAGCATTTTTATACCCTTTGAGGATTGCTAAATGTTGGCTAAAACAAAACAAAAAATGATTGACTGATTCATTGAGATTGCTAGTTCCACTGCTGATAAATTCTATTTCCTAAATAGCTGATTCCTACACTGAACTCCCTGACTTTTCCTGGTTCTTAAATAAATTTTAAAATCTCAGAGTCTGGACTTAGAAAGGATTTAACTATATCCATCCCCCCCCCCAACAAACACACACACACAATTTCTTTAGCGCCTACCATGTAACTGACATCACTGTAGAATTTAAAGTTCTGAGACACTGGCCATCTGCTCCTGATTATGGGAACCTGAGCTCTTTAAAACTGTATGGACAAAAGCAATCTCATCCTCTGTCCTCATACTATACAAGTGACTGATGAGGAGGGGAACACTGCCAGGGAAAGTATAGAGCCAGTGCTACATAGTGGTGCATGTTAAGTCTTGTCTTTTGCAATTGCTTGATCAGTTGAGATAAGTAATCTGTTCCTTACACAACCAGAGACTAATCATCACTGATGGGAACCAGGCTGACCTGGGAAAATATGCTACGAAAAGGGAGAAAAGGAACATTTAGTTCTTCCCCCCCCCCCGCCCCCCCCCCCCCCCCCCCCAATTTCACCCCCCCCCCACCCCCAACTGAGCTCTCTCTTGTCATCTTCAAACCGCCTATGGAAGAATTGTCTCTTCTGTCTTCAGAATGAAAACCTGCTCTGTGAAAGCAATTCTAGTTTCAGTGCATCTTGATACTGCACATAATAAGACATCATGAATAAGAAATTGTTCATAATAAGAACGGGCTTAAATCCATGCCTGCTGTCCTGCTCATATCACATTAATTATCAGGCCTTTCCCAGTTGGTGCAATTTGCATTACAAAAATCTGGGCAAATGAGATGCAAAACATTTTGGCCCAGTGAAAGCATTTGTTTGATGGTGTACAGTATAGCAGCAGATATTCTTATCTTCCCTGCCCTGGCTACAGCAGTGCAAATAAATAGGCAAATAATAGTTGTCACATGGATAACTAACATGCTAGAAGGAAAGCCCCTTCTTATATTAAATTTTTCATCCCAGAGATTAACCTAAACCTAACTAAGGGAGGAAAATTAATATATCTATCTGCTATATCAACTACCAGATTATGGAGATTGGAGTTCTTTGAATCTGTAAAGACAATGGGAATCCTCTACTGAGGAGCGAAAATGGTGATTGTGCCAAAGGCATCATAAAACCAGAACCACGTGGGTAACTAGAGCGGCCATGTAGGTCCTACTTTACAGAGGGTTATCACCAATATGAAGGGCATTATTGCAAGGCATCTTCTACCATTGGCCAATGCCAATGAAGGGCATTGTTGCAAGCCATGTTTCAAGGTGAAGAGCTATCAGGAGGAAGAGCAGGAAAGGGCTGTGAAGGTGTCCGTCCGTAGTTTGCCCCAGGAGCATGGGTCATCTGCTCGCGGTTTTTCCCAACTGATGGTGGCAGATTGATTTATTTATTTATTTGGACAACTTGTGTGCCGCCCCATTCGCATAAGCTTCAGGGTGCCTTCCAGCACATAAATAAATATACTTCATACAAAATACATAAAATACGGGAGACATCCTGGCCACAGATCTAAAATCAATAAATAAAACCAACAATTAAAATAGCGTTTAAATAAAAAGGTCTTGGCCTGGCGCCAAAAAGCAAATAATGACGGCGCCAGGCGGACCTCTCTGGGGAGTGTGTTCCATAAGTGGGGCGCCACCGCAGAGAAAGCCCTCCTCTGGGTACTCACCCTCCTAATATCTTTCACGGAGGGCTCCAGGAGAAGGGCCTCTGCCACCGATCTCAAGGGGCGGGAGGGCACAATGCATGCATAGATGCATTGCAGTTGTATTTATAGTATAGCAATGGTTTTTAAATATGCATCTAAACTTATACATTAGCTTACACAAATTATCTTCTGGCAGTGTGTAAATAGCCAGTGTTCCATTTATTTATTAGTTCTCTATAATTAACTGTAGATCTCTACTGTACTCATACCACATTTTGTGGCCTTTTTGGCAGCAATTTCTCAGACTTTTTGAGAAAAAAAACCCACTCTCTCTCCTGAACAGCACCTTCTGCACTTCTTCTGCCTTGTCGTGCTGCCTGACTCACACCAATAATTGTTTCCAATATCCTGTGGAAAAAAAAGCCTCCTCCAGCCGCCTACCCAGGCGCACATGACCTGATGGGGTGAGTGAGATCAGGCCACTAAAGTGGAAGACAGAACTGAGCTGTTCTGGATACTCAAGGAACAATCTTTGGACAAAGCAGCAGCTCAGGTTGGGATCATGGACTGGGGGCACTGAAGAATAACCCACTGCAAATCCCATGTGTATGTAGAGACCCTGAGCAGCACAAATTTTGACTGGAGAGAAAAAGGCTCAGCTCAGAAAATATTCCAAAATCTGTTTCAAAAAGTTAATCTTAGTTCTCAAGTAGGTTGAGAAATGCATACATTTAAATAAAATGTAAGTCTGTGTTGAGTGAGAAAATGTGTTAAATGTATAAATGTCTATTCTATATGTTTTTGTATACAGATTGTTTAAAATTGCAGATATGCGGAAATAGGACAGAATGAATGTAGGAATGCATGCCTATGAAACTGCCATGTTATAGCTGAATGGGCAACTTAGCCTAGATATGGTTGTCCAGTCCAATCCACTGCTCACTACAGGCTCTCTGCAGTTTCCACCCAGCCCCTGCTTAAATCCTTCCAGCAAAGACGAGCCCATTCTGAAAGGCTGTTCCACTGGCAATCATATCTTACCACACAGATATTTCTCCTAAGGTCTGGCTGAACTCAGCTCCCCTGCGATTTCAGTCTGGTTCTAGTTCTGCCCACTGACGCACCGTCTTCTGCATGAGTATTCTCCTTTCAGGTGAAGAGAGCATAGTGACTGATACCATTTTGCACATCAGGTTCAATCTGACCTCTGCAAGAATTTGGTACATGGCTTTAGTAAGCCACTATTTCTCAGTCTCCTATCCTATAGGAATTACATTACAGAACTGTTGTGAGAATTACAACCTGGCAATGTATGTAAACATTCAAATCAGCTGCTGTTGTTGGTGACAACGATTTACTTATTTGTTCATTCAGACAGAACTATTTGGTAATAGAAGAGCTGTAGCAAGAAACAGTCCTCCTTGGATTAGAAATCTAAATCCTAGGCTGAAAATCTTTCATTGCCTGCTAGTCAAAAGCAAAGAAACAAACCATGCACGAAGCACTGAAAGCAGTTATCATAATTTCACTGACTACAAACTGAAGACACCATGGCTGTATTCTCATAAAAAATGACATCAGCCCTAGTGCATTGTGGATCTAACACAGTAGATCAGAGGGACTGAATAGGCCCTTTCTTTGAAGCCTCTCCCATAAGGATTGCAGAGGGTGGAAAGAATTATCTGTACAAAGTTAAGTGGTAACCTGGGGTTAGCAGCATCTTATCCATCCTGTAGGACACCTGGCATTTTTCTGTCCAAGAACTGACCCACAGGGATGGTTCAAGTGCCTGGAAATATTGGAAACAAGAGAGTAGATATAAAACATCCTGCACCCGTGCCATTGCAGTCCAGCTTCTACAGACCCAAACATTATACTCAGTACAGATGTCCAGAAGGTGGTCCAGTGCTAATTTCACCAAATGGGAATACATTCAGAAAAATGATAGCTAAAAATCACCTCACTTCTACCTTGTGGTTCTTTCTTGAACTATGATAATATAGTGAGGAACCCACTGGGAGTTAGGCTCAAAATGGCTAGTGTCCTGCAAAGGACATGGGGTTGGCATCGTTATTCATTTATTGCTGGGTTGTCTTGTTGCTACCCTCCTCACAGTCACTCTTTCTGTTACCTTTCTCGTGGTAGCGTCATGCATTCGGTGCTTGGTGGATGTGGTCCCTGTAAAGAATGAAGAAGGGGTAGTCATCATGTTCATCCTGAACTTTGAGGATCTGGCAGCCCTCATTGCCAAAAGTGCCCGACAGAGCCTTCACCAGCGACTGTCCCAAGGATGGCGAACAGGTGAGAGACCCAAAGTGGCCCAGAAACCTGCACTCAGGACAAAAAGTACAGGAGAGTGAAGGAAAGGGCACACTGCTCAATAAGGAAGGTGAATGCCTGCCAAAAGGAAATGTGGGATTTTCCCTGGAACTTAGGATGCATTATAAGATGGGATATCTCTTTTTGTGCAAGGCTACTGCTAAGAGCTGCGTGGTCTCATAGGTACCTGTGGCAGGAAGGTTTTCAGCACACCACAAGCATAAGCGGTGAATGCTCCGAAATAGTCTAATGAGAAGAAAATGTGCCCTTCTGCACAGAGGCAACAAGGAAGTCAATCCTTCATGGAAAGGGGGGGGGGGGGGGGGAGGAGAAGCATCAAGGATTGTAACATGAGCAGCACAATGCTTTGAGCTGGTCATGTCTTTCCTTATGAGTGGATTGCCAAGGCACCTCTATTCAGGACTTTCATCCATAATTACAGATGTTGCCTAGCTGATATTTCCCAGGAAAAAGAATCAGATCCAGGGGGCTCACAGTATTTGCTTTCATCTAATCAATATGTGGGAGTAGACTTTTAAATGCACTAGGAATCACTGGGGAAACTGGGAGTTGCAGCAGATGGGAGTAGAGAGCAGTCCACTGAAATGAGCCATTGATCTCAGCCAGGCAAGACTAATGTTTATTTCAGATACTGAACTGGTTCATACCATCATTGTGGCTGAAACAAGCCACCATGATTTATTGTAGCTGTCACACTTGCCAGCCAGATCCCCCTAAATACTGGCACAGTGTCATAGGCCCACCCTTCCAGCACATGGTCTGACATTCTGATACAGGACACAGCAAGTCCCACAGTGAAAGCTTAATGGATATAGTCTTCTGAAATCATGCAGTTGGTGAAAATTAGCTGTATGCTTCATAAACAATTCCACAACAATCTAAAGCCAATGTTTGATCCAAGCAACGTGGTTCCCTCATTGTAATTTCTGTGGCTCAGAATTCAGATCACAGAACTGAATAATTCCTGAGTCAACCTTCTAAGGCAGCTCAAATTAAGAATTCTAGAAAAAGACCTGAACACCTCCACTCATGCAAAGGTTTACCCCAATCTCAAAATCTTTGTTGGAACCTGAACATTATATGGGTATAATCCAGAGGCTACTCATATCCACGGGCTGAAGAGGGCCACACCTTCCTGGGCTGCCCCTGATCTGATTCATGCTTAAGGGCCTTAAATGCAATAAGGGCCACTGTAGCCATGAAGCTGTGCTTGCTGTTATCCAGACCCAGGTGGCATGGAGTCGGGGGTGGGCAGCAACCCACAAATAACCCATAGACCATGATTTAATTATCTGATTGCTGTCATGTTGTCTGGATTTGGATGACACAGCAAGCTGCTTTGATGTGGGTAATTGAAGAAATCTGCCTGGCATGTATAGTGGCTGCAATGAGTTACAGGGCTTATTCAGTCATCATGATTGTATGAACTGGTCAGTGTGTGGGAAAGCATTTGAAGATGGAGCAGAATTGTAGCTGTGTGAGATAATTAAGAATTACTTAACATAACTTTTTCAAGAGACCTTCCAGGGTCCAGGACAACCAGTTCAATTTTCTGGTGTAAACATGCCTCTAGATTCAGAGACAAGGTCTTAGATTAGAATAATTCAGCAGACCTGTTTTGAATTCTTCCAGGATGCATTCTGTGTGTCTACTTGCTTCAACCTTTGTGATGTTCAAAACAACTCAAGGAATAGACCACTTGAGGGACAATTGAGTTGGAGAAATGGCAGCCCCCTTTTTGAATTATATTATGTTGTAATTGTTATTATTCCTCCTAACACCAGTTCAAGTCTTCCCATGCTTGTGAAACTGCAACCAAAATCATATTGTTCATGTACAAGACTTACAGTAAGACTGAAATTTGCAGATATGTACAAACAGAGCAAAAAATATCTTTGGTATTGGGGGAGACCTTGAGAGTACAACCTGCCCACTTCAACAATCCTATATAAGTTAATAGCATAGCATTTTGGCTGAGTGGAAAAAAACTGACAACCAGATGATAAGAAAAATGATATGGAGTGGCTAGAAAGGGTGGAGAATATGCACAGACCTTCAGAACAGGGGAAAGACGTGTCTGCAAGGGTCACTTCTTGATTCACATTCAGATGTTATTTTAAAATAGGGATGGCATAGAGGGTCCTTACCATAATATATGGAGAAAAAACACAGATGTTAAAGTAACTGAGACTGGGCACTAGTGTGTCCACCTCCTCCCCCATGAAATGTTGGTTTCTTTTCAGTAGAGAAGAGAAATTAAGAAGAATGACAGGAGCTAATGAAACATGTGTCATGTTTTGTTTTGAGTTCTCAGAGTTCAGACAGTGAAATGCAATCAGATGCATTTTGAATAAGGCTGGATTATCAACTGGCAGTAGGGTTGAGTGGGCACACATGTATCCTCCCCCTTCTCTGAAAAACACACACAAATGCATCTGTGCACACAAACCTATTCCCCTTTTCACACCCATTCACTGACATCATTCGTCATCCATTTTGTCACACACTATTCATTCACACCTTCTGTTCCTCCACACATTCTCATACACATAGAAAGAAAGAGAGAGTTTATTTTTAAACAAACACTGGTGGGGTTTGCATGGCATGATAACCCACAGTAGTTTATAAGCCATGGTGGGTTAATGTGGCATCTAAACCTAGCATTCTTTCAAGAGGTGGTTCAAAAACTCAGTTACCCATGGCTTGTTCTAGGGATTAATTTAACCCAGAGTGGCTTATTGTGTCATTCAAACTCAGACACCAAAATAGGTCATGGGGAGCTCAAAAACCAAGAGAACCTTTGGCAAGGGTGGAAGAAAGGCTTGCTGCTCTAGAGCTAATGGATGGCGGCTTTCCCAGCCAAGAATCTGACTTTCTCCCTCTAAACTGAAGGATGTTGTTTACTTTCTGCAAATCCTCTAGCAATGTAATTAATGTGTATGTTACTTGGGTAACAATATTGGTGACTTCATACAACTATCTATCTGGCCTAATTTGTGGCAAAAAAAATTTTTTGAAACCATGTTTGTAAAATATAAACACCATGCAGGGAAAGGGGTCTTTTTGCCATACCTGGTGAAACTACATTATACTGAAGAATATTTTTTTTTCCTGATGATCAAACAAGGGTCAGTTACTTAGGGTTGTATCAGAGAGACAAACACAAGAGGTTAAAAATATAAAATAAACCAGTGCCTGTGAAGAAGGTAAGAATGTATAGAGATAAGCCTATACATTCAGATGTTCAAAAATGAAGTGTACTTTCTGTAGAAGATAACCATTTACAGAAAGTAACTGAACATTTCCTGCTATGACGTTTTCTGTTTCTAATCATTACAAAAAGCTAAACATATAAATTCACTGTGTATGATGACTGTGGCAGCTGGTCCTGACTAGAGATGGGCTAACTCTATAGTGTTACTATTCACCTACAATCAAGACCTTTTTAAATACAATCAAGATCTACAATCAAGATCTTTTTAAATACGCAGCTACTTGTGGATGTTGCCCGTCTCTCTCAGGGTCAGTCAACACACAAGAGGGACATTTTTGGTCCTCAACAATAGTCACAGCAAGTCTGAGTTGTCAAGAAACACAAAGCAAATAACTTTGAGGAGTACAATTTCTGATGGGGTTGAGAAGGACTTGATGACATTTCAATAGTAGCCACCTAGCTCAACATGGCACAGTAACGAACAATTTCAGAAACTGTTCTAATGAAATTTGGTTTCAGCAAGTTTGATGTCATGCCTTGGAACAATTAACTCACCTCGCTAAAGGACCTGTCAAACCAGATTAGGTATAGCATTCTTTTATTTGTACATTATAGATTTTTTAAACATAACTGCCCCCTGTAAAGGGCAGAATCTTCTTAGGTAATGATTGTTTTTTGTCTGTCTTACTGCCCTCACTGTCCTGGTACCATTCATGTTTTGATCCTTGCTTGTTCTTCCTCATATTTTGTAATGACCTTTTTGTTGTTATTTCTTTATATTGTGTCTCAGGTGCTCAGCAGCATTTGCCTCTCGAGGATTTCTGTGACTGCCCAGCAACCTTACCTAACCTGGTGCTCCCATGATGCTGGCTGGGAATTATGGGAGTTGCAGTGTAGCACATCTGGAAGGTACCAGGTTGGGAAAAGCTGTGATAGAGTCATGACACAGAGATGCCTACTACTGAGGTCTGACTTGGCAGCACCAGCTGCTAGAACACAATGCAATGGCACATGGTGGTCTTTAGGTGTGTGTTTCCATCTTTGATCCTTCCTGCCTTTCCTGTCGTCTCATTCCCCACCCCTTGGCTGATGCATGTTGCAGACAGGTTACATTTGGTATTTTGTGTGCTTTTGTTTGGTGTTGGTTCTGTTTCTTTTTTTTTTTAACAAGGTCAAAATAAGAGCTTGAAGCTTAGTCTCCCACCCCTCCAGCGTTTGGCACTTCCATGGAAATCTCTGACTGCCACTGAGTTTGATGGAGTAGCTATTGACTGTGGAAAGGTAATCACCCTAGACTTTGCACGAAAATATGCCCGCCTATCTGGTTTGCATCCTCACCCCCTGCTCCTCTGTTCCCCTACTTCCCTACTGTCCCTTGCCCAGTCAGCAAATCTGACAGTAGCAAACATCTCCCTGTGCCTAGGCCAGAACCATATACTACAGAATTGGGAATACCAAGTCTGCCAGATATTGCTGAACTGCAATTCCCATCAGCTCTGGTCAACAAGGTCAGTGGTGAGGGATGATGAAGCTGCAGCCCAGCAACATCTGGAGGGCCACACAGTTCCCATTTCTGAAAAAGCAGAAGCAGTCAAAATCCAGTGAGCACAAAGCCTGAAATCATTTACTCCAGGTTGGCTGGGGTGGCCAGATGCAAAAGAGGAGAGGACTCCTGCATCTTTAAGAGTTGTGTAGAAATCAAAAAGTTACTAGATGAAATTTTCTCTTCTGTACAACTATTACAAGTACAGGACCGTGCCCCTCTTTTGCAACTGGCCACCTGGTGGAGGACTTGCCATCATCACCTCTCCTGCACATCAGCTCTCTGTCAGGGGAAGCTGAGGCATGCAATGATAACTAACACCCAGTGTTCTGGGTGGAACCCAGGACCAATAGCTAAAGCAAATGTCTGTAGTACCATGTGGGGGTATTCAGTTTGCTTTAGAGAACTTCCAAACAGAAAGTTCCTAGTAGTACCACACAGAAGGTATTGCGTAGCAACTCTTTTGATCCATTTGATTGATTGATTGATTGATTGCACTCAGAAAACACTGGAGAATTGTGAGTGGAAGGTGAGGACATCTCTGTTCTTCCCCTCCACTGCTATAATTCTGTGACAGAGGCAGTGCAATGGCAGTATGAAAGCCTCAGACAGAAACATTCATGCTTTAAAACAGTTCCAAACCTAGCCATTAGAGGGCAGTAGAATATGCTCAAGGCCACTGCACTATTTTTAATTGCCAGACCAAACAAGACAGTATATTGGTTATCTGTCATCAGGTTCTGCATTTAAAGCCAAGAGGAGAGAGAAAGTGAATCACAAACATGAGAAGACTCATATGCAACTGCTGTTAGCTCCATAAAGTAAAATAACAACTCTGGTTTTATGTATGATTTCAAACCAGAAAATGGTGCATTGGGGAAGTGATGATTAAAAAACCCTCTCCTGGTACTGTGAACTGGATCTAACTTTTGAGTTCCAGTGGTTATTATTAATTAAAAAGCAAAGAAAGAAAACTATGAGCAATCATAGTCATAGACCTTTAATTGTACTGAGAGAAAGTATGCCTTTGAGGAGTCAGTTTTTTCCAAACCAGGATAATATACTTGAAAGTACAGTGGCAGAAGTCACTGAAAATATTTCTAGGCAAAGAGAAAAATCTAAAACAAATGCCTCACTGAAGTAGTACTACTGGCTGGAAAGGAGGTGGCAAGGTGCTGGGCAGCAGGAGGGAAGCCAGTGACCGCTGTCCGAAGTGCCGCTCGGGCACTCTAAGCAGCTGACATCAGAACTTCTGGGCCAGACCTTCTGTCATGCCTGTCCAGGGCTTCACCTGGGCTTTGTGTTATCCAGGTTGGATGACACAAGTCTAGGAGTGCCTACAAAATCATTCAACAAGCCATAACCCTTGGAATGTTTTTATAGCCTCAAAGAATCCACTGGGGGTGGGTGGTGGGAGAGTCAGTCAAGTCAACACATTACTCCATCATGGCCTCATGGCTTAGCATGTTGTATGAAGCCAGTCATGCTGTATTACTAAAATATCAGATTATACTTGGGTGATTGCTGCTGATCTAGTAATGGCTACAATTTCCCAGGATCCTGAGACCTCTTTCACATTAATGGCAACAAGTCCTGTAAAAGAAAAGCAAGTTATGAAATCAAAATAAGGTCACTTTTTGTGAAAGGGTAGGGATTGAGCAGCTTTTGGGGGGATGGAACAATGACATTTAGAGGGAAAGTGAATTTATCCTAGGAAGAGATAGAAAGTGTGATATTTTCACATCAATTTGCTATCTGTGGTATGAAGTGAGAAATTCTGGTGCAGATTCTGGGTGCTCCCTAGCTGGAATTAAAAGCCAAAGGATTCCCAAAGTTGGTGAGAAACATGCACTGTATGTTTGAAACAACAAGGAATGACATACATTTAGAAGAATTTTAAACCAAAGGGTAGAACCACTACCAATTCCAGAACCTAGCTCTTGGGGACAGTAGAAAGAATACAAATTTTTTCTATCATACTTTGTGAGGTCAACCTAAGATATTTTCAAGGCACATAGTTCATCACTCAGAAAACAAATTGTGGAGACAGAGATGTGCTTCCTCTCTGTACTTTCCTCTGTGCTCAGTAATTACTAGCAGTTCTCTTCAGCATCAACAGTGGTAAGTATGGAATACCAGTATGAGACAAAATATATACAGGCAATGACTCTACAGAGTAACCTGCAAATTTCTGGAAAGTTGTTACTACTATGGAAGGTATGGAAACTAATTTTGGTTTATGGAAATAAACTATTACTATGGAAACTAATTTTGCGAGTTTTCTTATCACTTCCATTTGTACTTCCATAGTCAAAACTGTTCCTCAGAATTGTGATCATCACTGCTGCACCTATTAGTGATGAGACGCCAGTTATTGATGTGACTGTCATGTGTGCTTTTGGCTCATTTCAAAGCCAAATGGCACATGGCCCTCAGCAGTTTTGAACTGTTTAAACAATATTTTAGTGTATAAAAGGACATTTCTTTGTGTGTATACAGACAAATGTGCACTTACTACATCCTGTAGTTCCTCTTGCTTTGACATTTTCTTTCTTTTTAAATGCTTTCTTAGCCATGAAATATATTTAACATAATTATTATACTGATTTAGGCAAGGAAGCTTCCAATAGAAAAAAATAGAGTTTATACCTGTTAGGATAGTTCAAAAAAGATCTCAGTATTGAAAACCCTAATATAGCAATTCAGCATTAATATTTGGTTGTCACAGATAAACTCTGCAAAGCATTGTTAACTCCCTTGAGGAAATGGTTGGATCACATGTAATAAAATTGTAAAATCTGTGGCATTTAATATGTATTTATTATGCACATTCCTTTAATATGTATATTTCTTGCATAGTCCTCCTAATAATTCTAAAGGAATTAGCAATGGCAGGACTTCTGTGACATGGTCCCTGCTTTAAGACATCCCACCACAGGCTTGGATTCAGGTGGAAGTAGTCTCTTCCCTAGCAGTCAATTTCCATGTACTGCAGCTAAAAACAAAGAAATAAATTGCTTGCTGGAGAGTTGCTTGCCTTCTCAACCCACTTTGGTTCTGGGCCTGTCCCACAGTGCCTGGAGCACTGATTATAGCCAGTCAAGAGACGAGCAGCGTGCAACCAGCACCACTGCGTGATTTCCCCATGGTTGTCATTCTGCTGTGACTCAGTGGATTGGATCCAGAACCTTCTTTCCATGGGTGGAAGAGCTCAGCTCACAGAAGTAGGCTCTGGACAATTTGGGGGAATTTCTCTTCCCCCACAAACCACAATTCACTCCACTTAACAGGGTCCTTGCACCTTGCACTTGCATCCAGCCTACCATATTCATTACTGAATGATACTGCTATGAAAAGGTTCCATTCTGCTGCATGGCCAAACTGCTACAGAATGTTGCAAGATCTCACAACCTCATACTAGCCCATATGTGTCTTGCTACAATGGGTGCTGCATTTTGATGTATTCTGTAGGACCAACACCCCCACCCCATTTAACTATTTTGCCTTTTGTCAGGCATATGTTTGCAGCTCACAAAGCCCCAAAATATGCTATATTCTAAGCAAATACCTGACCTCTTTCAAGGCATTGGCTTTTGAAAAATAGCCACATCTTGGCTGCTTTATATTTATAAACCCAGAATTAGTTGACTCTTACAAACCACTTAAAATTTGGTGTATCCTAGGTGTATTCACATATCACAAACACTCATTAGGTGCAGCTATACTTGTATCTATTTATACAAAGTGATCTAAGTATGACTAACTTAGTCTGGATCTAATCCACGGCTATGTACCAATTAAGAGAATGACCTAAGACGTTCTGGTTCAAATCTCACTTCTAACATGAAATCATTAGGTAGCCTCTAGTAAGCCACTATTTTACCACCTTCGCTCTGTATCTTTAGAGCAGGTATGCAGAGGGTCATCATATGCAGAGGGCTGTTGCAAGGATAACTGGAAGAATGGTTGAGAAATATATTCAGTATTTTAAAGCATTATATAAATCAAAAGCATTAGGTTTCCATGAAAATGTAATTATGTAAGTGAAAAAGCAACTGACAACAAGAGGGCATGAGACCCTGAGAATGAAGTATTCTGCAAAGAATTGCTAATATGGTTGTCAACCCATGGCCATGGCAATGCTCCCCGGCCCCTTCTCCTTCCCCCTTCCTTTTTGCTCCTCTCTTCTGATGCTTTGAACAGTAAAGAGCACCTCTTAATACAACACTTTCTTCCTGGCTGTCTTCAAGCCTGGAGGGGACTCCTTAAAACTGAGGGAGTTGAAGATGCTGCCTGCAGATAACTGTGCCCAAACCGAAACTGAAGCACTCCTTGGGAAGGAGAGGAGGTCAAGCCTGGAGACCGCACCTGCCACTGAAGCACACCATTCACCCCCAGCGCAAGAGCTGCCTTCCCTAGGGCCTCGAGGGTCATTCCCTGGCAGGAGCTTGGGCCAGATCCTGCCTGGGGGCAGCTTCCATAGCCTCTGCCAGGTCTCCTCACTGGAGAATTTGGAGGCTGAGTTCCAGAGAAAATTCAGGGAAAGGAGGGCAAACTCAGGTAGGGGGAAAGCATGTATAGTACTTAAGCTAACAGCTCTGTGCCATTGGATTGGTGCTGCTGATTGTGTGCACTTCTTTATTGTAATCATGCTTGCAGAATGTAGTTATGCCAAGGCATAGTGTGCCCCCTCCCAGATTAGTGAACAGCATAAGTATCACTCTGCATAACATTTAAGTATTTATTTCTTGAGCAAGGGGATTTCTGAATATGGTGAATAGAAACAACAACAAAAGAAGAAGAAGAAGAACCTCTTTCTACCAGGAATTATCAGTTATTACCTAAACTGGATTAATTATAGGTAAAGAACCAGACCAAACACCAAAGCCAATTCAGAGTTCAGTTCCCCTTTTCTACTGCCTTCCCTGTGCCTTCCACACAGAAAGAGGCAAGAAGTACACAGGGAAAAGACATGCCCTTCCCAGTGGGAGGACAGGCGAAGTGGACAGACGCAGAAGGAAAGCCCTGACTTCCAGCTGTTTGTCTCTTCTGCCCCATCCATATACAACAGTGGGACAAATTTTTGGCAGGAACCATAGTATCTGAATAAACCATGTGCCCAATCTGACACAAGTTACCAAAACCAGACACATGGATTAAGAGTGACCCTTACTTTAAATCTTACACAGCCCTAAAGAGCAAACAAACAATGCTTTGTTAAAATACTAACTGGACTTCCCCACTGCAGGAGAAACTGAGGGACCAAATAACATCTATGAATATTGCTAGCACTTCAGTCTGTGATATAACTAAAATGATGTAACCTAGAAAGGAAAGTTATTAACCCTGCAGCATGAACAATACAGAAGACTGCATTAAACTGGAGTAGAAAGGGGTAGGAAAGAATATCCAGGTCTGTGATGGTTCTAACAAATCGTTGATTTACAAGTCCAGTCAGGTGTTTAAAATATTTTCAAAAGCTACTGGGAATGTTGGGTAGCTGCCCTCTACCACTGTTCAGTAAAACAAGATAGGAAAGACTTTGCTGTGGCTAGTGGAAAGAAAACAGGAGACGGGAGAAGCTGAAGGGAGTCTGGATGTTGTTCAGGAAAAGCTTTGCAGGAAGCAATAGGCCTTCAGAGTGGGAGGCTATTCTAGACACAAGGAAGAAGCTGGACATGCATCCCGTAGCCATGGAGAAAAGCAATAAGGCAGATGACGAGGCTGATACAGCTGCAGCAGGGTGGCAAGCAAAGAGCATTATAGGCAGTACTGAAAACTGAGCAGCTCAGTGCAGAAGAGCAAGTTGAGTCTGGTCAGGAAAAATATTTCTATTCTGGGTCGATTAAAAAGTGGTAAAAGAGATGGTTGCCAGTGACAGGGAGTACAGAAGAGTACTAAGAACACTTGCTCTTAAGGGAGACCAAGAAACCATTGCTGCTTCTCTGCCCGGAGTCTGACCAGCATTCTGATCCTGGAGAGAGGGGATTGGAGGGGATTCAGCTGAGCAGTAAAGCGCATGCTTTGTATACAGAAGTTCCTAGGTTCAATCCCCAGCTTTTCCTGGTAGGGCTAGGAAAGAAGCCTTCATGAATCATGCCACTTAAAGGCAACTCCCTGGTCCTGTGGTATGGCACTCTGAATGAAGCTAATAGAAAAGAAACGAAGGATCAAAAAAGATCATGAAGCTACAAGGCACAAATTGGAAAGACGTTCTGGGGAGAAGTAACACTGGGGTAGTGCAGGGTTCATTGTTGCATCCAGTGCTCTTTGACATTTTTATTAATGATTTGGATGAGGAAGTGCACTCACCAAATTGGCAGATGACACAAAACTGGGTGGACTAGCTAATATTCTGGAAAACAAACAAGATTCCAGGTGTTCTTGATAGGCTGGAGGGCTGAAAACAACAGAATGAAATTCAATAGGGACAAATGCCAAGTTCTGCACATAGGAAAAAGAAACCAAATGCATTGTTACACGATGGGGATACTTGGCTGAACAATATTGCAAGTGAGAAGGCTCTTGGAATTCACAAGCTGAAAATGAGTCAGCAAGGTGATGAGGCTGCAAAAAGAGCAAATGCTATTTTAGGCTGCATTAATAGAAGTATGACTTCCAAATCATGTGAAGTTCCCCTCTATTCAGCACTTGCTAGGCCTTATCTGGAGCACTGTATCCAGTTCTGGACACCACACTTTAAGAAAGATGCAGACAAGGTGGAAAGGGTTTAGAGGAGGTTAACCAGGATGTTCAGGGGACTGGCAACAAAGCCCTGTGTGGAGAGGTTGAAAGAACTGAGCCTGTTTAGCCTTAGGAAGAGAAGACTGGACGGGAGATACGATAGCATTCTTCAAATACGTGAAAGATTGTCACAAAGAGGAAGGGCAGAATCTCTTCTCAATCATCCCAGAGTGCAGGACATGGAATAACGGGCTCAGGTTCCAGGTTCCAACTGAACTTCTGGAAGAACCTGCTGACCGTTTGAGCAGCACAACAATGGAACCAATGACCTGGGGAGGTTGTCTGCTGTCCCATGGCAGAGGCATTCAAAATGCAACTGGACAGCCATCCGAAAGGGATAGTTTAACTTGCAGCCATGCCCTGAGCAGGGTGTTGGACCTGATGGCCTTGGGTCCCTTCTAACTCTACTATTCTATTATTCTAAATTGGGGAAATAATAGGCATGGTTTGTAAACACATCAGGGATATTCTAGACTACAAATATTTCAGAGTTCTAGTGTTACAAAGTTCACTTTCCCATTTGGATTCCATTAGAAAACCCTTAAACACTCACTTGTTTTACATGGTTTTATGATAGGAGGCTTTGGGTTGCTGTTGGTTTTAATTTCCAGAGGGATAGCCATGTTAGTTTGTTGAAGCAAAACCAGTAAGATCTTCGTAGCTCCTTAAAGTCTAGCAGGTTTAGGGCACACTCTTACAGCCACCAGACACAATGCAGCATTCCAGCACTGCCCTTGGAAACTTGCTCCAAGAGAGGGAGGGGAGGAGGCAGGAGCCATCAGCATGCCCCCTCTCTGGTGGCATCTCGGCCTCCTCTCCTCATGCCCTGGGGCAAAACAACATAAGCAGCTGGCATTGGCTGTCCAGGTGCTTTGGGGGACAGCCCAAGTGCCTGTGTGCTACTTCTGCCCTCTGTAGGATGCCCAAACCCTTGGAGTTCAGAGGGTTATAGGCAGTTGCATTAGATTGTGCTGTTATTCCAACATAAGCTTAAACTCTACTATAATTCACAAAAATATATGTCATAATAAACGGTCCCACAGATTTTCACTGGGTTTAAGTGGGCTGATTTCATTTTTCTTGGCTTCTTTCTGAGCTGGGTATTGTTATTATTACTGGATCAGGTTTTCAGTTGTCTTCGGTTTGTTTTTTGGAAGTTGCCTTTTTACCCTCAAAGGCAGCCTACCAAATCATTTAAATAAACAAATATTTGCAACTGTAAATGTAATGGAGGCTTGAAGTGTTGTGTTCTTCAACTGTTTTGTTAATTTGAGCACCTATTTACCTTATTTCAGAGCTTACAGTCTCATATAATGACATCCATGTCCCTTAGCTGAAAGCATACCAGTAAACTAAAATCAGATTATTTTATATGTTTAATTTCACTGCCTTGTTCTCCCAGTAATCTTCTCCCCTTTGCAGTGCTAAGGAGCTTATTCTGATTTCACGTATATCTGGAGTTCTAGACGATGATATGATCAATTGTGAATCTTGCTGACATGTAACTAGATCAACTTTCAATTGTCTTTTTCCTTCAGAGTCCACCCAAGTCAAGCCCAGTCAAAATTTCACATCAGACTCGGACCTCATGAAGTACAGGACAATCAGTCAGATTCCACAATTCACCCTCAATTTCGTGGAATTCAACCTAGAGAAACACCGGTCAGCTTCTACCACCGAGATTGAGATCATTGCACCACATAAGGTGACCGAACGCACACAGAATGTAACCGAAAAGGTCACACAGGTATGTCGATCTTCAATATTTTGATACCAGAGTTGGAATAAAGGAGTTGAAGATGGATTACTACTATGATGGGGGCTGAGGAAAGCAAAATGAGACAAAATAAAATGCAAGAAGAAATGCTGGAACAAACATATGCTTAATGATGGCAGACTGATATTAGTCTCTTGTCCAGATCTTTGGCCCATGTATAGCAGCATGAGAGCCCAGGAGGGCCACTGGCTTAGGTGGCTCCACCACCAGCTGGGCAAATTCATGGAGAATGGATTTTTCCATTGTAATGGCAGCTTAAGAAAAACTCTGTTCAGACAGTGCATCCCTAAATGCCAAATGCTATGCGTATAATTACTGGGGTGGGCTTAATCCATCTTACCTTGTTTTTGGGCTTCTGGGAGGCATTTGTCTGGCCACTGTTGGAGCACAAGGCTGGACTGAATGGACTTTTAGCCTCTGTAGGAGCACCCGTAGCCTGGTGGGTTTTTCACCCTTTTGAGTTCATCGGGCTGGTCCTAAGCTTGCTGGGCAGGCAGACTCCCACCCCATAGACAATTCTTTGGAATAACCTTCGGGGCCTGGGGCTCCCTCAGTACATTTACTTAGAATTGCATGTGTTGGTGTCAGGGAGCAGGGAGGACATAAACAGTTGCTACATAGGAGCTGCTGCTAGGCAACAGGATTGACGCTTAATCAGTAGCGACACAAGTTTGTCAATACTGGGTCATTAGCTGGCTGGAGGTGACGGGATTGGCGCTGACAGGTCATTGCTGAAGGCCACCCAGATAGGGCAGAGTCCGAGAGTGCTCTGCTGTTGTGGATTTGCCACAGTCATCTCGCAGTAAACTTTTGCCAGGTGACAAAGGTTCTAGGAAGAGGCTCCAAGTCCCTGTACCTTGATTAGGGATGCATGGATGGTTAAATCCATAGGAGGGATTTAACCATCCATGCTGTCTGCATCTCACAGATTCTCCAGTGTCCTTCATTCCTTGAGCTGCTCACTGATAGGATGTGGGGAAGGTTAACCAGAATTTTGTTCTCTTGCACTAATTTGCGTTAGAGCTAATGTTCATCTGCACATCAGTTAATGTGAATTAGTGTTAAAGCGTCTTAACTAATGGGCATTTGAATGGGCATGCTTTATGACTAATGTGAATTAGAACAAATTCTCCTTCCCCCAAAGTCAAAAGCCAGACTTCAGGTCTATGGAATCCACATGATTCAGAAAAGTTAATATGCTGCAGAATGCAGATCAAATTCATGGCAATCCAGACTCCGAATCGATGGCAGATTTCTCTGACTTCCCAAACCTTGGCCAAGGATATGATGTAATATAATATTCAAATCATGTTGATAAACTTAGGTGTTTGTGAGATGCCGTATCCCAAATTGTGTGTAGCCAAGTGTCTTGCCTTTACACACTTGATCTTAGCCAAAAGGCTGAGAAGCAATTAGTGTCTTGCCTTTTAGCAAGGAGCACAGGTGAAGGGGAAACTGTGTGAAGTACCTACTATTACACAAGTGCTTTTGACATTTTTTAAAAGGAAGACCCTGTTCAAACAACATTTGAGTATGTGGCAGAGGCAAGCAACATCAGTGCTAAGCTGGCAACATATGCTGGCTTCTGCTTTTGGCACACTTCCATATTAAAAATAACACGTGGGCTGGCATATCAAAGGGCCAGTTTTGCACACGCCAGTGGATACATGGAGGGAGTGGGCCTGTCTCTTGCTCATCACTGACTGTTCAGATAGATTCGTCTGATTTTGAGGAGGAGGCAGAGGAGCAAGCGGGAGAGCAGCAGCTCTCAGCTTCAAGGTTACGGAGTGTAGTTTCTCCAGCTGCCTCGGAATGGGCGGAAGGGTTTTGAACGTGGAAGGGGAGCAGAGACAAGGGGAGAAGCACAAAGCCCACTTAGAGGGGCCCTGGTGTTTGTGCCCTCTAGTCCTCCAGCAGCAAGATCTGCCCTGAGGGTGGAATCAGATGCTCTACTGAAAAGGATGGCTCCTTTCTCAGCTTAATAAAAGACTATTCAAATTACTCTGTTAATTTTCAATAAAAGAAATGTACTTCAAAGGGTTCTTCCTGAGTTTGAGAAACAGAAGGAAAAGAGAGAATGGACCCACTCACAACAATACATGCTTCCCTGAGGATATACGTATGTGGATTGTATCTAACAGAAACTGTGATGCTTTCAGGTTTAACTGGAAATGGAAGGGTAGAGCCTAGAAGAGGGAGGTAATTATTAGAGGCAACAGCACAAGAAACAGCAGCCATGGATGAGACCAAACAAGTACTATTTCCTGGCCCCATCTCCGGTACTCAGACTCTTCCTGGATTTGCCTCCTCTTCTGCATTTGATTTGCTTTCTGGAATGCTAACACACACACGTGAGCAAAACACACTTAACAGTGTGCAATGAAAAAATGGAATAAGCACAAGTGAGTTTTAGTTTGTAGGTCTGCCTGTGGATCTTTTTTGAAAAAGGCATGAGTTTGTTTCATTCCAGTGTAACAATCTTTTCCCAGAAATATTCCTCTATGGAGGAAACGAGTTACCTTGCATGCAACCATGCACTGGACTTTGGGATCTCAGGTGAATGCATGTCTGTGGTGGAAAAGAGGAGACAAAGCTGCAGTATTCAGAGGATCTCCAAGAGTACGGGCTACCCTGCCCCATTCCCCACGGTGCAATCCAGGGAGACTGAGTGGGAGCACAGCCCTTCCCCACCATTCTGGGGAGTGATGTAAGCAGTCCAGAGTCTGCGCTGGGGAGCTCTGCTCCACACGCCTCCCCCTCCCCTTCCAGAGTCTCATGCCCTGAGCTCACACAGGCAGTGTCCACTTTCACCACAGCAATAGAAATGAGTCTGAAGCTCAAGCTGAAGCCGGTGAGTTATTCAAGGAGAGATGTGGGGAGGAGGGCTATGACTAAAGTTCTGCTTTCTTCAGCAGGTTCCCTCCCTCCGTCCCTCCTTCCTTCCCTCCTTCCTTGTATTTGCATACTGCTCCATTTCCATGCAGATTCCAGAGCAGTGAACAGCAAATGCTATAACAGATAAAAGAATAAAAACAATATATTAAAACCAAGTTAACATTAAAACCATGGTTGGTCAGCAGGAAATGAGGTTACAGAAAGGAAGGCCATCTTTAAAAGCCCTATAACAGAAGCTTGGTATATGCTTTTCAGATCAGGGCATTCTTAATTTTCCATGCCAGATTTCCTGCATGTTTGGTAAACATTCCTTGTAGGATAAGGAGCTGCCACAATGTGCCAGAATTCAGTTCTGCTGCTTTCCTGGGGTGGCTGAGTTAATTTTATTTTCATCTTTCTCTCCTAATGAGAAATGTTGGAGCTGAACCTTAGTAAAAATGCTGGGTGGGCAAATGGTACTGGGCACAGCCTTCCAATGTTAACTCTGAAAATTCCTCTGTTTGTTCCACACTTTTTTTAGCACTGAGGAGTGAAAAAGACTAGCATATCAAAGTGGCATTTTGTTCAGCTTGGGGGAACATGCAGAACTTTCAGTACACGCTTCCTAGATCATGAGAGCTTGCTTATTGTGACCAATAGCTGGAGTGCCCTTGCGGCTAGCAGTAATTGATCACATGTGAAAGAAGTGACACTTCTTCAGATGCTAACCAGGAAGTCCCATCTTCCAAGAAGTCAGGACAAGGATTTGGCGAACCTGCTCTTCCTCAGAGTATTTAATGCAGTCCCAAGGATGAGCATTGACATATCATGGTTTACTCTGTAAGCCATGCCACGCAATCCTCCCAGGTGCCTTGTTTGTTTATGCAGCTCAGGAATGAGCTTTGTATGACATACACATAATCCCTGTCAGTCATTAGCATGCTATAAATAAGCAATCTACTTAAGGAAGAGTACGTTCGCTTTGATTTTAGTTAGCAAAGATTTCTTAGGTGTCTCTGTCCCATTCTTGCCAATTGTTGATTGTTTAAAAAGTTTGAATACTGGACAGTCAGATATTTGGGGGCTGTGTAAATTTGGTGCTTTTGCATTATTACTGGATCTCTAAGGATCTGGTCACCAGTGTCTGGCAATTATGAAGCTAGAATATTTCTTAGAAATCCCCAAAGGCATAGCCATACAAATCATGCTCAAGTGGTTTACTGGAGAGACTGGCAGCTTCCTGTTCTTTGAATATAAAGGTCTGAAACAAATCAATAATGCTAAATCTTGAATGCTTATTTATTTCAGACATCTTGAGTGCAGATGGAGAAAACTTCTAGTACATGCAGTTTAATTTGGACATGTGCCTATAATCAGACATACTCAGGGTCAGAGAGGGCACCAAGGCAGAAAATAGTTTTTTAAGGTTGTCTGGGGTCTATTACACCCTAGCCCCAAGGCATTCTAGATCCATCTGAGATGTGCTTAAATGTATTTGCCTGGCACTTCTAGGACAAAATACCTTGCATCTGACAACATTTGAACTCCAAAATTATAGCAGTTGGATCAGGTGAAGTATCTAGTGCACAGCCTGGTCCAGTTTTGTTGGATGAGTTTCAGCTGGTACAACTCCTGGAGGTGTGTAGACAGGCTCATACAGCCACCATGCTGGGCCCTTGCCGCTCCTGGCTTGTACAGGCCAGCAAGGAGGGAAAACGCACTGGGGAAGGGGGTGATCACCCCTCCAAGGGAGGGCGGGTGCCTTGCTGCCTAGAAAGCACAGTGAAGAAACTCAAGCTCCCATGCTGATTGCACTAGGCCATGACAAATACATCAGATATGAACAAGTATACAGCAAAATACCAACATTTCAATAATTTCATACAATTATATGAGTGGATGAAAATATGCTATAGTCACACATTCAGCTTTAACATTACTCTCTGTATCCCTACTGCAGTTTATAAAAAATTTGTCTAATCTCTCTTCCTATTCTTTTTTGCTGCCGAAGCAAACAAGCAAAGCAACTTTATGCGTCACATAACTACTAGCATTGCTCAAAAGAAAAAGAGTAGTTTCTGCCAAAAGAACTTTTT